GGCCGTCCCGCAGGTCGCACAGCGGTGGGGCGCCTCCCTGTCAGCGTCCTGATGGCCGCGGTAGCACTTGGCCGTCATCGCCCCAGCGGTTTCTCGATCCCTTTTTATGGTCATTAAAAATGGTGTCGAGAAGACGCCTACTGGAGATTGATAAAATAGCCACAAAATAAACGGATATTTGCTCGGTATCTTTCCAGCCCCCACCCAAAATTATCTGATCGTCTTTTGAACTCTGCGTGATCATTTGCGCGGCGCTTTGCTTCCAAAATATCCAGCAGCTATGCAGCAACCATACGTTTCTACACGGGTGGCCTCTTCCTCGTGATGGAGTCGAGCCGCGCGCTGCGCGGTCCTGGCCGCGCGCAGGTGGTCGCGGGTGGTCGGCTGCGTACGGCACCCGGCCCGGCCTGTGGAAGGTCGTGAGGGCGGCCGCAGTGGCGTTGGCTGCAGCGCAGCGCGCCGCCGAGGCGTGGGTGGGTCGGGGGAGGGGGTGAGAACATCGTACGCCGCTGACCGCAGCGCATTCACCAGCTGATTCCAGGTGAAGGGTCGACGGGCGTGGGAGACCTGAGACCTGCTCACCGAGCAGGGCATTGCGGGTGGCAGAGTACTCTGCCTGGAGCTCCGCGTCAGTGTTGCGTCGGCGGACGTCCCAGTCCTTCCAGTGGGGGGTAGGGGGGGGGGGTGTGTGCAGGAGTGGCCCGCCTGCCGCCCACTGCGCCCCGGCTGGTAGGTAAGTTCGGACAAATGGAGCGTCCAGCGCCGCGACGATCAGGCGATAATCAGAATGCAGATGCCTATAGGCGCCAGTCCAGCCACCTGACGCTCCCTCGGGAAGTCTGTGAGCACAAGGTCCAACTGTGCCAGAGTGTCTCCACTCACCCTTGTGATGAGTGCTCGGCTAGTCCGGCCCTCTTCCCGGTGGTCACGATGGGCAGATTGACCTGATGGGCGAGCTGGAGGAGCGCCACCCCGGCGTCGTCAGAGTGGGGATGGTGCAGCCGCCTCCCCAACTGGCGGCGAGGTGGAGTCCAGCTTGCCCAGCTTGGCGTTAAAGTCACCAGCCACAAACCTCCAGTGGTCGCGAGGAAGGGCAGCCACGACTGCCGCCAGTGCGGCGAGCACCGTGCGCTTGCGAGCAGGTCCAGGATGTCGTCCGGTGCCGCATGGCACATGGGCGCCCGGGCGCCTTCCACCGAAAAAGGCACCCCCAGCACCATGGCTCGGACGGACACCACGTCTCGACGTCTCGGTGAGGTTCGGTGCCCACCCGACCCATCGGTAGTTAGGGGTATGCGTCACCTGTTTAGCCATCCGGGTCTCCTGGATGACCGCCAAAGAGACACCCTCCTCAGCAAGCATGGTGTACAGGGCGAGCTACTTCTCCCGCGGGGAGCAGCCCTGGACGTTCCACGTGGCAATGCTCAGGACCCCTGGCCGGTGGTCCAAGCAGCCACTGTAAAAAAATTCGGCGGTAATTTTACCCGCGAAAGGGACACAACGCTCCTTTCCCTCACCAGGGTAAATAAATTTACATACCCATGGTGGGGTACATTTCAGCCACCAATAGGTGGGTGAAATTTTCTACCCATGAGGGTGCTATTTTGTTCTCGTGGGTATGGATATAACTCTTACCTCCTACCCACGAGGATTAGATTAGGCATCCACCAAGTTGGAGAGATGCTCCGCATTCAGCCCACCGGGTCTGGCCGCAGAGTGTGAGCTGAGCTCCTTGGCGCAGCGTTGGAGTTGTAGGGCTGTGGGTGGCGCGAAGGCCGGGTCGGGACGCTCCGGGAGCCGGGGGGCCGGTGCGCCCTCTGCCAGTGCATGAAGTAGAACTATAATGGAGTATCAACTTAGTACGTTAAAATGTGTGCCGCGCTGGCTGGCGAAACTATCTCCTCTGAAGCCAATGTGCTTAGCAATCGCACCCACTTAGTTTTTGGAAGCCTATGATCTACTGCAGCTAATGATGACCTTGTTTTGAGTGTAGCATCATTCAAACTGGAGCTACGACGCCTGGAACGCCACATATCCGTTTTCGGCCATGTGCCACCCGTGTATGTAGTGAGAGACAGAGAGAGCCAGGGTCATAAATGTCCATGAAATAATAGCCGTTTGACACTGCTGCATTCAGGGTCTTCACGGTTGTGTACAAAAGGAAGAATTTGAAGAAAAAACAAGGGCATCATTAGCTGCAGTAGGTCATAGGCTTCCACACTGAAATCCGTTTCGTGATAATTTTACTGAATTTTCGCGATACCTGGTGTTTTGCGATTCCCACGCTAATGGGCATGATAACTCCAAAAAGAGTATCACATTTTTGTGTTAAAATCATCACAAAAAATGTAATAAAATAATATTTGTGATGATTTTATCACAATAATGTGATACTTTTATCACATTTTTTGGAGTTATCATGCCCTTTAGCGTGAATCGCAAAACACCAGTTATCGCATGGTTTTGTGTTAAAAGTATCGCATAACCAGACTCAGTGCAAAAAACTGAGTGGGTGAGATTTCTAAGCACATTGGCTTCAGAGGAGATAGCTTCGTCAGCCACACATTTCAACGTACTTAGTTGCTTCTCCATTATAGTTCTACTCCATGGCCAGTGCTGCTGCAGCCTCCTGCCCACGATATAGAGAGAAACGGTGGCGGCACGAGCCCACCTGCCTCGTGCTGGCCGCTGAAGACGAAAGCGGCGCCGGATTCCTCTTCGGTGGGCGGCCGCCAGGCAGCGCCACAGTCAGCCTGGGCTAACTCGAGCGGCGGCTCAGCCTACCTGCAGCCTGGGCCGCGCGCCCTACCTGCTGGCGGCCCGGGGGTCAGCTTGACACGTTCCACCGTGCCACGGTGGACCGTGCACCGTGCGTACCGCCCAGCACGCTGGCGCGCACGGGCGAGACTTCACCGCGATTTCAAAACAAGTGGGAACACTTGCAAAGTACTTTTGCATTGTCGGGAGATGCATGGTTACAGCAGGTGGCACTAGGTGGCAGGGTAGGTCCAGGCGTCCAGGCCATGGGGAGGGAGTGCGTGGTGCGTGGGTGTCCGCAGGGGTACGGAGGCGACGGGGACAAGAAGGGCGTTCCCTTCTTCACCTGCCTTAACAAGGTAATGAACTGCGAGAAAGCGATTTTAGTCGCGTCTCGGGCTAAGTCTAATTGAGGAGGCAGACCTGTGAAAAACAAGGGTTTGGGGAAAAATTTATTTTAAAAAAATGGGGCGGCTCAGAGGTTTAGTACTGCGCGCATATATGAAGTAAAGATGGCCCCACATTTTGGCTTCGAGCGGTGCCGACCCCTCCACACACATGGCCAGCATGGCCTCGAACTGGATCCGATGTAGGTCTTTGCGGTGTGCACGATTGTGCCTGAACCGTTGGGTTTGCAACAGTGAAAAAAATTGCTAGATTCTCTTAAAACATGTATCTAGGATCTGACAGGAGGGTTTTTTCGAAATTCAATTCCGAAATACTTGAAAAAAATTCCCAAAAAATGAGTACAAAAAATGGGTTAAAATTTGGGTACTTTTTCCCTGGTGTGGGTACCTTGCAATTGAGTTATAAACAATCGCCCTTGTCAGATCCTGGACACATAAATGGACAACATTCTAGCCAAACATTTAGTCGATAGCTCCAAAACTACGGCCTGGAGGTTGCACACCGTTTGCAAAAAGGCATTCCGAGAAAAATGAGTTTAAAGTTTTCAGTACCAATGTATAGCGACGAACCAAAAGCCAGAGCAACTTACTGAACTGGTCCTAAAAGATTCCGGGGCTCTAGAGGACTCCTTCCTCGTCGTGTATCCTGTCCTGAGCGGCCAGAAGAGCCCTAGCGGTCCAGCCACCCGGCCACTCGCAGCACGTTTTGGGCTCTCCTGGGCGCAATTTTTCGCATTTCAACATCCGCTTTGCGACATTAGAAAGAGGAAAGATCAAAGAATTTTTTGAAGCATTAAAAAAAATTGAATTTTTTGATGATTTTCATTGGTCTGTCCCCTTAAGACTAAGCTGGCACCTCCCTGCATCGCAGGACCTCCTCCCTTCATGGGCCAGGGTTATACTGCGGCGCGACTCGACCAAAGTCACCCCACCCCCTCTAACGACGCCCAGTCCGGTGTGTGGGCATCACATCGGACATGAGGACACACGCCCAAGTCACGCTGTCGGATGGGCAGAGTTGTGCTCACGAAGCTCAATATACCGGAGCTCTCTAAATCTGCCGTACCGTCGAAATTTGATGATACGGCAACATACGAGCTTCCCAGCGGTGCGGCGCCACGGTCACCCTCGCGGCGGCCATCGCTCGTCTCCACGCCCACGCCGCCGCGGCTCGCGGACGTGAGGACCCCACCACCGCGACAAAGTCAGTCCGTCGCGACGCCGTTCAAGGTACCGACTCTACCTTCAGTGTCCAAGGCCCGCACCAGGCCTTCCCCTGCAGGCTCCGGCGCCGGCGCCGTCCCCATGGCGTCGCTGGCGTCGCCCGAGGCGTTGCCCATCGCCGAAGCTTCCCCTGTGCGCGCCGTGGCGGCAGCGTCTCCTCGTACCCCATTGGCGGCGTC